ATCTTAAAAAAAAAGAGATTTATTTATTTATTATTTTAGAGAGAGAGAGTGGGGGTGGGGGGAGTGAGGAGAATCTCAGACTCCCTGCTGAGCAGGGAGCCCCACGCAGGACTTGATCCCATGACCGTGAGATCATGACCTGAGCTGAAATCAAGAGTTGGATGCTTAACCAACTGAGCCACCCAGGCACCCCTGGAACTTTCATGACTTCGAATGGGTTGGTTTGTGGAGTGGACTTACCAAGAGGGCAGGTGCTGGGCTCCAGGACCAGTGGGTAAGGGTTGGGTTCGACTGGTTCATTTAGTGGAGTGATGCCCATCCATTGGCAATGCCTGGCTGGAGGGTGCTGCCTTGAAGGTCAGTTGGAAGAAGCATCAGCATGATGGTTGAGTAGTGATGTCTGCCACGGGCATGGGCAAGGACAGCCATTCCTATCCCGGTCTCCTAGCAGAAGGCTGGGGAGAGTCTGTCTTTCACATTGTCTGCCTTCTTTCCACTGTGGCTAGCTTGAGGGTGAGGGCTCTGTCTTTAATTTCTCTGTGCCCCTGAAGTGTCTGGGTCGGCGCTGGGGACGCTGTATGTCCAAACAATCGAGTGTAAGTGAGTTTTATCCCTGGGTCCCTCCCCCAGGCCCTCCCACTCATTCTGGGGAAGGGCTGTGCCCTCCAGGAGCAGGGGCCAAGCTGAAGCAGTGGAGAGAGTCCCACCCCCCTTTCTTGCCCCTCCGCAGATGGCGTCTATGACATAGGTGGCCTGGTTCCTGTCTGGGCCATCGTGGTGATTGCGGGGACAGCTGTGGCTGCGGTGACCTTTTTTGCCACATCCAACAGCGAGCCCCCCAGGCTTCACTGGGTAAGAATCCCCAGCACTCCAAGGTGGGGCAAGGGGACACTGGAATCTCCCAGGAGGGTGTCCTGCTCGTGCCCCTGGGGCAGATAGGCCAGGAATCACTTTCCATAATGACAGGTCTTTAAAGCCACTTTGGATGATAGTTTTGTTCCTTTTCGAGGTTTTTTTGTTTTTGTTTTTTTGGGGTTTTTGTTTGTTTGTTTGTTTTGGTAACAGCTTTTATTTTATTGAGATGTAATTCCCATACCATACAATTCGCCTATTTAAAGTGTGGGATTCAGTGGTTTTTATTATATTCACCGAGTTTTGCCCCTATCAGCACTGTGAGTCTTAGAGCATGTCAAGACCCACACCCAGGAGCAGTCGCTCCCCTCCCTTCTCTCCCCCGCCAGCCCCGGCCCCCACCGGTCTGTGTCCTGTGCCTGTGGAGTTGCCTAAGTTTTGGACTTCTCACGGAAATGGGACCCTATGCTATGTGGTCTTTTGCGAGTTGGCATCATGTTTTCAAGGTCGTTCCATGCATTAGCCGGGGATTAGGGATAGCTGAACACCATCCATGATGCGGATGCGGCACGTTTTGTTTATCTGTTCATCACCGGTGGGCACGGGTTGTCCCTACTTTGGGGATATTAACAAGGAACGTGGCTATGATGTTTGTGTAAACACGTGGGTCTGGAAATAGGCTTTCATTTCTCTTGGGTGCATTCCTGGGTGAAACTGCGGGGGCAGACGTTATGTTTCACTTTTTGAGCAATTACCAGGCTCTCTCCTGCTCACTCTCGGGGAAGCACCTGCGTGTCTCCCAGCCACGTTCCAGGGATGGAATTGTCTGATGTGTGTGGGTTTTTTTTTTTTTTTTCCCCATTCTCTCCACCCTGCAGCACGCTGAGGAATTTTTAGGCAGTTTGTTCAGAATGTACTTTTCAAAGTGCACTTAAAAGTTTAATTTCTTTTTACTATTTATCGATAAAAAAAATACAGGTTTTATTTTGAGAAACTCTTGAGTGTGTCAAGCCAAAGCAGGTCAGATTTTCGACCAATTGATGACTTAGAGAAATAGTGTTCAGCCAGTGTTTTTACTGGGTTTTGACGTACCTCACATACTCCTACGTGGATGTCCCTCGAAGACACAGCGCCCAGCGAGAGAGACCAGTTGTGAAGGACCACGTGTGGCGTGAGGCCCTGTAATGACGTGTCTCGAACAGGCAAATCCATACAGACAGGAAGCAGAGTAGTGGAGGCCCGGGGCTGGAGGAAGGCTGCATGGGATGGGGACTCACTGCTAATGGGCATGGAGTTTCTTTTTCTGGACTCATGGGACAGCATTTGGTCCCAAGCCTGGAAGCTGAAGGAAGCTTCCTGAACTCTTTCCTGACAAAAGAGTAATACTGAGCTAAGATTTTAGGGAGAACTTGCTATGTGCCAAGCACTAACTGCTCTGAATCTATTAACTCATTTATGCTCATGACAGTCTCAGGGGGTGGGTACTGTGATCATCCCATTTTGCAGATGAGGAACTGAGACCATGGCCCCGTTGGGGACCGTATCCCTGCTGGGGACTGGCCTTGGTCCCATCAACACCCATTCCCTCCCCAGCTCTTTGCTTTCCTGGGCTTCCTGACCAGCGCCCTGTGGATCAACGCAGCGGCCACGGAGGTGGTGAACATCTTGCAGTCGCTGGGAGTGGTCTTCCAGCTGAGCAACACTGTCCTGGGGCTCACGCTGCTGGCCTGGGGGAATAGCATTGGAGGTGACTCGGGGTCGGCTGGGGTTCCGGGATGAGTGCAGCTATGTCACTGCCGGAGTGCACATGAGCAGGGGCATCTAGGGCACCTGCCCTCAGCATGCGCTCAGGCCCACTCTTGTTTTGGAATGACCATCACTGGGCATCGGGATGAGGTGGCCTGGATTGTACCTGGGCCGGGAGACTAGAGAAGCCCCAGCCTCTTCCCCACTCTCTGCTCCCCAGAGTTCAGGCAGGACATGGAGCCCACTGCAGCCAACCATGCTGAATGTGTACATGGCTGTGTGACATGCAGGCATTCACACATGCATACATATACCCTTCTCTAACATAGCTGCCACGTGGGGTTGGCTAAGTTGTGCACTGCACAAGAACATCCAAACAAGGAGTCAGGGGGGCTGAAATCTAGCTCTCCTTCCACTCACCTTTTGGGCACCTTTTCCGAATTTGCATAAAGGTGCTGTGCGTGCTAGCGTAATGGTGTGTCACATCCCCACAGTTGCCCGTGGTGGGAAAGAATGGGGTAGAAAGAATCAAGGAGGGAATTGTGTCATGGGATGTGTCACGGGCGTGGGATGCCCAGCTAGCTAGTGCAAGGCCCAGATGGGCATTCGTCAGTGTTTGTTGACTGAATGACTCTGGGTAACAATAAGGAGTGAATGACCAAAGAGGGCCAGGGGGAGCCACTCACCATTCAAGGTGGTCTCTCGTTTCCATGCAGATGCCTTCTCAGATTTCACGCTGGCCCGCCAGGGCTACCCACGGATGGCGTTCTCAGCCTGTTTCGGCGGCATCATCTTGAGTATCCTTTGTGGGGCTGCCTTCCCCGTGGCACGGGCTCCGAGGGCCATGGGTGTGCTCCGTGCCCCACTCCTGGGCTTGGCCCTTCCTGGAACACCTGGGGCAGGAGACACAGCTGCCGGGGCCTCAGCTTCCTCATCTGTAAAATGGGGATGTTGAGAGGACCGACCTCAGGTGGGTCATTGTAAGGACTGAACGAGGTGACAGAAATGCGTGGCGCGGGGCAAGCACTCAGTGGATGGCAGATATTACTGTGAGGGCCGTGGTGGTAGACGCCCCTATGCTGAGCTTACCTGTGCCCCGTGGAAGAGCCTCTTCCTCTTGCTTACAGATGTCATGGTCCAAAGATGTTAGGGGTTGGTGAGCTTTTTCTGAAAGGGCCAGAGAGTAAATATTTTGGCCTTCGTGGGCCTTACCAACCTCTTTGGCAACTACTTGACTCTGCTGTCATAGTGTGAGACCAGCCATAGGCAATACAGAAATGAATGGGCGTGGCTCTGTTCCAATAAAACTTTATTTATAAAAGCGGACAGTGGGCCAGATGGGGCTGCAGGCTGTAACTTGTAACAAGCAAGCAGCCTGGGGCTGGGAGAAGAAAGGGCTTCGAAAGCAGCTGGTCCTGGGCCCCAGTTCCAGCGCCACCACGTGCCAGCTGTGGGACCTCGGGGCTTTGCACACATCTTACTCTCTGCACTGCGGCCATCTCTGCGCATTCAGAACGGGTTGGGGTGAAGATGGACGATGGGGCACGGCACCCAGGACAGTGCCTGGCTCGGGCTGTGTGCCCAACCAACGGGACATGCTGTTGGTTGTGAAATGAAGTCGTATTATTTGCAAGCACTTGGAGGGCAGCTGTCCCCAGGCTCCACCACGAAAGTGCCCGCGGGCCGAGCCCAGTGCCGGGGCGTGGCTGCACAGCACAGCGAGAATGGGCGGGGCCCGGGAGGCGTGCCTGCCGTGTGTCACTCCCCGCTGGACAGGGCTTTCTGGGGCCCTTTGCACCCACTGAGACCTGCTCTCGGCTTTCGGGCTGTGGCCTCCCCTGGGCCCTCAGGCTGAGGTGGGAAGGAAAGAGCCCTGCCTCGAGCAGGGTCCCCTGAACAACACCTAGAGATGGCCTTGACCTGTGCTCCGTCACTAGCCCCCCAGAGGAGAGTGGGTCGTCACCTCACCCAGCCGCAGGGAAGCCAAGTGCTTAACCGCGTACCAAGCACTTCTGTCCCCTCGTTCCCCGCTTACAGATCGGGTGCAGAATGCACACTAGACACTCACCTTCCTAAAAGGGCTAACACTGGGTAGGATCCCCTCAGAGAGGGTGTTTTGGGGGTGGGGTGCAGAGACCATAAGCAAAGCTGACGGGCATGCAGTTGGGGTGGGGGGGGGGCCGTTGTTCCAGCAAACTTCCTGAGCTGGGCCACAGATCTGCTGGTGGGAGTGGGGCTGGGCTGCCTGCTTCAGATCTCCAGGAGCCACGCGGCGGAGGTGAAGGTGAGCGGCCAGACACTTCTGCAAGGGGCCCCTTCTCATGCGGTCCCCCCGGTGGGAGAGCGGTCACATCTCAGCGGCGCATGCTTGCTGGGGAGGGGCGTTGTCTGAATTTGTGACAAGCTTGATTTGTAGAATGGTTTTTTTTTTTTTTTTTTTAGAGATTTTATTTATTTGAGAGGGAGACAGTGAGAGAGAGCATGAGAGGCGAGAGGGTCAGGGGGAGAAGCAGACTCCCCACTGAGCGGGGAGCCCAATGCGGGACTCGATCCTGGGACTTCAGGATCGTGACCTGAGCTGAAGGCAGTTGCTTAACGAACTGAGCCACCCAGGCGCCCTGATTTGTAGAATGTTTTAAAAATATCTTGAATAGAGGGTTGAAAAAACGTATTCCTTACAAGTTCACAGAGTAACTAGGATGTTGCTTCGGGGAAGGGGCAGGAAGGCCCTGGCTTTAGGTAATGGTCCCCCATCACTTAAGTCTCTTGCTGTGTGACTGTGGGTGAGATAGGACATCTCTGAGCCTCAGTCTCCTTGCCTGTGAAGTGGGGTTGATGGTCACCCCCCAAGCTTCCCGGGTAGCATGCACAAGGTAAGGGCCAGGCCGAACACCTTATCCCAGCACTGCCCACAGAGGACAGACCAGGTTGGGGGACTAAGACAGCCCCTGCAGGCGGGAGCCTGGCAGATTTGGAGAAGGTTCTGAGACACCTCGAGTGGAGGTTCTCATGTTTCCAGGATGCCCAAGAATTTCCTGGGGGTGCATGAGACCTCCGGTCCCAGGCATTCCAGGGGGTGGGGCCTGGAAACCTGCATTTTAAAATAAGCTCCCTGGGGACTGATGAAGGTAGGTCGCTTGAGAAAGCCTGTTCTAACAAAGGTTGAAAACCCCAACACTTGCCGGGGCTGGGAAGGTAACCGAAACGTGTAGGTGACTCAGGTGGGCCTCACGTGGCCAGATACTCCAGATTTTCTAGAGAAGAAATCAGGATTCCTAGGAGAACTCTTGCTAGTCTCAAATACTGCACTGCGTTGCGCATCGGGCATCTCTATTTTGAAGGACCTGAATTCAGAGACCAAACAAGAGAAGGATTATGATGGGGTTGGGGAGGGGGACATGGTCTCGGGGGATGGTTTGCAGGCTCCCTCCCCCCCTCGCAAGAGCACTTGGGGTCCTGTGAGGCCGAAAGATGGCGATATTAATGGGAACAGTCACCCACTCACTCTCGGCGCTCGACGGTGACAGTGGTGACGATGGTGGGACTTGTGGCTGGCTTTTGGCAGTGGCCACGCCCACGAGCAAATAGCTACTTACTGCTTGGAAAGTTTGCTTTGCTTTCCTCTAAATAGCCGATCCTTTTTTTTTTTTTTGAGGGGGGAGGGGCAAAAGGAGAGGGAGAGAGAGAATCTTAAGCAGGGGCTCGATCTCACAACCCTGAGATCTTGACCTGAGCTGAAGTCCAGAGTCAAGAGTCGGGTGCTTCACCGACTGAGCCACCCAGGCACCCAGGCAAGTTTGCTTTTCTAAAAGGTGAACACCATCTGCAAATTTTGTTCATGGGTTTCATAGGTTGCTTTCCTTATCAGTTCCCAGGCCGTTGCAGATAATGAGGCTTTAGGGTTGGCTCTCTTTCTTCCTTTCTCTTGCTCTTTGTGGAGCACGCGTGCACGCGTGCGTGTGGATCTGCATCCCGCTGCCTTTGTACTGAGTTGACGAAATGCTCCCACTGTAAATTAAGACGCAGGGCATCAGGGCAGGTCATCAGGGAAGGATGGCCGTGGGTTGTGCGGGGTGGAAAACACAGGTTGCTCTCAAACGCTACGTAGTGCGCAATTCCATTTCTGGTTTCAGAATTGCTGTGCAGGTCTGGTGTGTGTGTGTGTGCACCCCGACACGTGTGTGCAGATACGTCACTGTGTGGGGAGGCAGGATAGGGTATCCTTCAGAGCTCGGACGTCGATCTGGGCTCTGTCCCTCCCTCATTAGTTTGCTCGTCTGTGCGCTGGGGGTAATGGCCCCCCCCTCACAGGCGGTTGGGAAGATGAGAGGCTAGATGGTGCGGGGAACATGCCCAGCACACCGCCCAGTGTGCGGTTAGACAAACGCTGGGTGTGGAAGGAAGGGGAGTGGGGAGAGGACAGCTTCACTTCTTGTTACTCTTCTGTGTGGCCGGCTTGAGAAGTTCTCAGCATCTGCCTGGAACGTGTGTATGTAAACGCCTGTATGAGCGTCCTAGGGCGGCCACGACAGATGACCCCAAGTTAGGGTGCTCAAAGCAGGAAACTTCACGGTGGGGCGTGGCCAAGGGGGCCAGAAGTCCTGCCCTGGCCCCTAGCGAGGGGCAGGCGACTGGTGGCTGCAGTGACCGGGCCTCTCCCCACGCCCCGTTGCCCCCACAGCTGGAGCCAGATGGACTGTTGGTGTGGGTCTTGGCCGGCGCCCTGGGCCTCAGCCTCGTCTGCTCCCTGGTCTCGGTCCCACTGCAGTGCTTCCGGCTGAACAAAGTCTACGGCTTCTGCCTGCTCCTCTTCTATGTGAACTTCCTCGTGGTGGCCCTGCTGACGGAATTTGGGGTGATTCACTTGAGAAGTGCGTGAGTGATGCCACGTGTCCGGGCCGCCTGGTGGCCGGCAGGTGTGACTGCAGGCGGCGAGAGGGACGTCTGGCCTGGGGGGCTGTGAAGGGGGTGGCTGGGGCGGCGGGGACCGCTGCCTCTGCTGGAGGTTCCTGGCTGCCACCTGTGCAGGGAGAACAGCTAGGCCTTGTTTCTGGGACATCGGAGACCCGGCTGTGCTGCGCACGGAGCTGCGGACAGAAGGTAGACCTCCTTGGATTATCCGTGGAGCCTCTTGGGGGCTGAGTGCCTTCCGGCCGGTGTCGCCACACCAGCGGAGTGTTCTAGGGCCTGTAGTCATGCCCTGCTGCCTTCCTGCATCTTCTCCTGAGGGCTCACTCACACTGCTGCCCAACCTGGGCTTAGGGTGTCAGGGCGACTCGGATGGTGGGCAGCGCACAGTGGGCGTCCGGCCGTCCCGGGCTGCGTCCTAGAGCTGCACCGTCCAACAGAAATGGAACGTGAGACGCATACCGAATTTTGAAATTTCTAGTCGCCCCGTTAATAAAAGCCAAAAGAAACAGGCCCTATATTGTGTGTATTATTCAGTGGCTCCAAAATAGCAGCGACGGCGCTGGCCCCGTCATGGCCGCCATATTGGACGGCACAGCTCTGGCCTCTACTCTCGACTGTCCGCTGGCTGTTGGCAGACTCCCCTGTGCCCTGAACCTCAGGCTTCCCTAGCTGTGAAGCAGGCATCAGCCGGACTGTGCCCTGTCCTACCTCGGTGGGAGCCCAGGGCCGGGGTTCCAATTCCTGGAAGCTCCAGGGAGGACGGAGAGAGTGCTCCCCAGTGCCTTCCGGCTGTCAGCTACGGACCTGCCTTTTCAAGGAGCAACCGTTCAGTTTGCCCAACTGCCTTCTGTCAGCAGCTGCAGCAAAGCAATTTGACGGTCTTTTTTTTCCCCAGGGAAAGAAAATGATTAAATATTTCAAGCGTACAGAAAGCAGCACACCCATCTTCTACCGGTTCTTCCTTACCTGGGCCAGGTGAGGAGGGGCTGGTTCCAAGGCCAAAGGTTTGGGCCTGAGGTGGGGTCAGGAACAACCCCGGATGGGACCTGCCCCTTTCCCCCGCGGTGCCGGAAGCCATAGGACGTCACTTGGTGGAAGTCACGAGGCGGCAGCCATGTTTACAAAGCAAAGGCTTTTTTATTAATATGCCGGAAATCTGGAGACACAGTGGGTTTTCCAGGTTAACAAATCACCAATGTACAAAACCTTACAGCGTTGTTCCCTCTATCCATACAAAATGATTGTCACATGGTGCGGAGTAAGGCTGGGTTGAGGGAGGGAAGCGAGGAGGAGGGGCCAGCTGGCGTCCCCCCCACCCCCAAAGCGGGGCGGGGGTACAATGCCACCATGGCCAAGGGCAGGTTGGTAAGGTTGACCTTGGTTTCATTCGGCTAGGACATGGGTGGTGAGAGGGCATCTGAGCTGGATGATGTCCCAGGCCCCTCAGATCTCACAGGCCTGGGTGACCCCGAGGGGCCAGCTTGTCCTTAGCCTCAGTGACAAGGGTGCCCTCTCCTGACCGGGGTCTGGCCCGCAGCAGGATTGCCGCTGCATTCCTCCCATCTAGCCAGAACCAGGGCCTTTCTCAGAGGACAGGGCTGGAGGGAGGACTAGATCTGACCCGTCCTGGTACCACCGCCACACCAGGGGCCTCAACTACCCTGTCGCCCCTCCCTGGTTCACCAGGGGAAGGGACTAGAATGAGGCTCAAACACTCAGGGCAGAGGACCCATCCTCCTTTGAAAGCTGTCCCTTGACTCCTGATTCCAGAATACCCATTTCAACACACAAATGCTAAAAGGCACCCAATTGTGCAAATAAATAAAAGTTCCTTCTCCGGAGAGGGCAAAGGGCTCTGGCCTGGGCTCGGCGCAGCAGGGCTGCGGGCGTCCAGAGACAAAGAGGACAAGGCCGGTCTCCTGATGCCCCGTGGGGATCTCCCTGGTTCACTGTTTCCCCAAAGGGCTGTGCTTTAAAAACAGAAACAAATGTCCACCGCTTCTCCCCTGGTGAGGGGCACAGCTGTACTATACTGGCTCTAGAATCAGCCCCTCCAGGGCCGCCCTCGAGAAGCCTTGGCCTTGGGGATGGTGGGGGAGAGGCGGTGGGGGATCCCAGCATGGCTCCCCTGGGATCAGGCCATACCCTGCTAGGAGGAGGGCGTGGCAGGGGGAAACTTCTGCCCACCCACCTTCCTAAGTCCTGGGAGGCAGTGGAGGCATCTGGAAAGCTGGGGTCAGAGCAGGATGCCCAGCAGGGGCTGCTTCCCCTGCCCCCTGCCGACCCCCTTCATCCCACCGCCTCCTGCACCGTGCTCGGTTTGCAGCCCAGCAGAGCTGAACCAGAGCTCCCTCTGTTCTGACCCTGCTGCTCCTGCCAACGCCAACAGCGCTCACTGGGGCTGCCAACCCCAACGCCTGCTCTGGATTCAAGCACTGGTCCTACCCCAACCCTGCTGATCTCAGGAGAACCCCCACAAGATATAGGGGGGACTCGGTTAACTGAGGGCTCACCTGAACCTAGCTGTGCCAGTGAAGAACCCTGGGGCAAGCCGGGTCCCCATTCTGGCCTCAGTGGAGTCCACGGAGGGGACTGCTCAAGGTGGGTTCGGGGTGGGGGGGGAGCTGTCCCAGTGGACAGGCAGGGGCTCAGCCGCAGGCCTGCCGTGGACCTCCCACAGTGAGCGTTTGCTCCGTGCACCCCTTCCCAGCAGCAGAACCTAACGCACAATGTGAAGGATCTGCCACTGTCTTTAGCAGAATCCTGTAACCAAGATGTCTCTGCCGGAACAAGATAATCACAAGGAAAAGGGTTCTAGTGGCAAAAGCCCGTCTCAGGAATGGGTCGGGCAGCCATCAGCCCGGCCCTCTTGCTTGCTTTCCTCCATCTGAGAGTCTAAAGGAGGCCATTTTAGAAGGATCCGCAGCAACGAGGGTTAAACTAAAGGAAGTGTGGGAGAGAAGGCTTACAGAGCCAGGATGTGAAATTCGCGCAATCACGCGCAATCTCACGCTGCCCAGCACTGGCTGAGATCCGACCGCATGGGCATGATCACACCCCTTGAGTACTCTATCCATTAGGTCCTAGGGACTGGTCCCCCGAGGAAATGTTCTATTATATTATCATATATTTAGAAATACTAACCCACATCCTAAGTGGTTTTGTCCCTAAAGCAGGCCAGACACCCCGTGACGTGGGCCGCAGGGAAAGTTAGTGGGGAAGCGGTCAGCTGGGACGTGGGTGTGAGCGCAGCCTTGGGAAGACGGTGTGGATCTGGCCTAGGGAGGGCTGGCCCACTTTGAAGGTGAGCCTTGCAGAGATGGGCAGGATCTATCCAAGTGGTCTTCTTCTGAAGAGGCCTTCTGGAACTTTCCACGTTAGGCAGAGCTCACGGCGGCCTGACCCCCCCAAACCAGAGTGACCTCTGGGGTTAAAAACAGGGCAGGGTGGTTACACACCAAACCCCATCTTGTCTTTTACTCTTCGTATATATAAATATGTGCATATATATGAATGCATGTGCGTGCACACACACACACGCATTTTTTTTTCAATATGTCGTAGTAAAATAATACTATTGTGTTATTGCATAGAAGAGATGGCTGTCACGCTGGGGCTAGGTGACGGTCTGGGAGCGCTGGCGGCCGCCTGGGAGCTGCTGGGTGGTGGGGACCAGGCCGCTGCCGATGAGCTGTCCCTGCCGCTCCTCTTGCTCGCGGGCGTGCTCCTCGTACCACTCCTAGAGCAGAGTGCAGACGGGGCGCTGAGCGGGCGGCACCCCTCCCAGCCAGCCCCGCACCTGCCGCAGCCCGAAGAGCCCCCACCCTGCCCTGGGGCACACAGCGGGCAGCGGGAGCCAGCCTCACTCAGGACACCCCTGGGCCTGCTGGGAATTCTGCATGTGGCCCAAACAGAAAAAAATTACTGTGAAATCTTTCCCTTGTTAGAGGTTTGCAAGCCTCCTTATAAATATTCTCCTTGGCACATATCATCTCTTTAAGCGAGGCCCAGGTAGTCATAATCATTCTCTGTTTGATTGTGAACATAATCTTTTGTCCTTCACAGAGGGATTCCCCGGCGTTATCCCTTTCGAGTGTGGCAGGAACCGTGTCCTCATGGACACCCGAGAAAACCGAGGCTTAGAAGTTGTACGAAGCTGGATGAAGTTGAGAGCCTCTCCTAACTCCCATGTTGCTTTTGCTCCCCTCCAATAAGGCTGTGAGAGCATTTTGCAAAAAAAAACGTAACCCACCAAAGACCCACAATGTTTTGTCATCTGACATTTTCAGAGACAGGTGATTGAGGAATTAGAAAAGCTACCGTAGGTATTTAAAGAATCTGAGCCACAGAACTTGGGAGCTTAAACAAGACTGAGATGGCCTTCTTTCTGTGCCCCCTCACTGTACAGAGGGGGACGCTGAGGCTGGGAGTGGGCAGAGGACAGAGGACAGCAGCAGAGTGCATGCCCACGTTGGAGCCAGAGACTGTCCCCCTTTCACAGGTGTGAACAGACTGAGGGACGTGCCCAAGGTCACAGAGCCAGCAATCAAACCCAGGTCTCACGATGCCGAAGTTCGTGTGAGTTTCACATCTCTGCGGTCCCAGTTTCACGAACCACTATGTGTCCGCAGCCCTTGTGTTCTCACAGAGAATGTGAGTCAGCTTGGCGTGCTGCAGCCTCCCTGCCTTCTGGGCGAGGACACTGGTCATCACTGTCCCAGTGAAAACAGAGGGTTTCTGGCTGTTAGGATGCCAGACACAGCAGAGTCCGATGGGTGGTGTGGGAGACTCTCCCCTGAGCCCTGGGACCTGGAGGCTGAACGGAAGACCCAAAGCACAGCTCATGTGCTGGTGGCCTGTGCTCTGTGGGTTCTGTCTGGAATGCAGGGTGTCAGCCCACATGGTGCTTTGCAAGATTGTTTACCTAGCTCCCAATGTGGAAAGACAGGGAGGTTTTACTTAAAAAAAAAAAAAAAAAAAAAATTGACTTCTCCCTTCTCTTAAATTAGAACCACCACAAAAAAACCTCAAACAGCCCAAACACCCAAGGGATCCAAGGCCCCAGGAGAACCTGATGGCCCCAAGAAGAGGCTGCCTTCTCTGACGAGCCCGGCCCTTGCCAGCTCTCCGGGGCCTGCCTGCACCCCCCTCTTGCCCATGACGTCTCCTGCTGTACACACCGCAGCTGCGGCTCTGGCTCAGAGTAAGAAATCGGGATAGGTTCTGGAGAATGCTCAAGCGGGAGGGCCGTATGGGAGAGCTGCTGGTGTTGGGGAAGGGCCAAGGGTTCACGGCCGAGCCCGAGCCCTGCCCAGCGCTGCGTCCCAGACACCACTGGTGGCGGTCCAACGGATGGCCCCGATCCCCGCACTGCGCCCCCTGACTCCACACTCAGGGTAGGGACAGGACGGTAGCCCCTGCTCCGCAGCAGGGAGGCCCACCCCCAGGCAGGAGCTGGGGGTGAGGGTCTAGGCAGCGGAGGCAGGGGCGCACCTACCTGAATCTCTTCTTGGTACATCTTTAGGCTCAGGTCACTTTTGGTCCTTGATCTCCGTCCCAGAAACACCACGGTGTTTTGCTAAAAAAGAGCGGAGGCTTAGGATCAGTCCAAGCGGTGCCCTGCCTTAGCTGGCTTGAGGGGATGACAGTGGGGGAGGCCCTCCACTAAGCCGAAACCTGTCCCCTCCATCGGAGGCGGCCCCGAGGCTCCTCACCTCATGTCTCTCCATCTGGGAGAGGACCTTGAGCAGCCGGGCGATGTCCGAGGTGGCTCCTCGCACCTCCCGGTAGAGCTCCAGGACAGCAACCAGCTCATCTTTGGAGATTTCCTTCTCGAGGGTGATGCCACCGTCAACTGTAGAGGGGAGGCCAGGGCTGGGAAGGAGCCTGGGGCTCAGAGCCCCCCGATCTGGCTTGGTCTGGTGCAGCCCTCCTCCCTGCGGCCCCAGCAGGCGTCCTAAGGTTCCTTCCGAGCAAACCCGCATCAGCACGACGCGCCCCCCACCTCCTGCCATCTGGCACGCATGTCCCCTCCCTTCCCTTTGCTGTGGGTGCCGGGGGCGCTGGTTGGGCCAGCAGCTTATAGGGGACAGAGGGTTTCAGCAGGGAGTCTCTGAGCCAAAATGGTCAGATGGCCGGATAAGACAGAGATTTGGAAACAACAAACAGGTATGTGGTGGCTCTGATGGAGAATCTGGAAGGATCAGCACACACAAAGCTCTGCGCCTCGGAACAGGCAAGGCCATTATCCCAGCTGCAGTCATCCAGTTGCAGAAGGATGAACTACTGGTCCGACATTTACACCCTTTAGAACCACACTGTGACCATGTGATTTAGAGATGCAAAAAGGACAGCCAGCTATGGATGACAAGTGTCTGGAGGCATGGGAGGGCGGGGCGGAGGGCTGCTGTGTTCACAATAGGCCTTTCTCTGCTCTGCAATTCTTCTAATCTCGGACATGGACTATTTTTATTTTGAACATGAGATCGACAGCATTCTTCCGTCATTAAGTATTTGAAAAGCAATGCACACGAGAGAGGTAACAGATACACCAGACAGATATGCTGAACTGCCAGAAGCCTGGACAGCCAGACAGCGGGGCCGGACAGCCAGACAGCCGACAGCTGGGCAGCCAGCCAGACGAGTAGTGGGAAGGCTCCGGCCACGGCTGCTTTTGCACACACCTTCCGAGTCCTGGTTCTTGCGGCTGTAGTTCATTCGGAAGACAAAGGCCTCAAGGATGAAGGCGACAATGATGGTCATCACCACCTGGCCAGGCGCAGAGAGCGGGAGGGCGGGCATGTGAGCCGCTGCGGGGCCCGCACCCAGCAGAGCCCGGTCAGATGCTGACACCAGGTCCCGGCCCCTCCTCCCCGGGCGGCCGCCCACCGGGCAGGGGAAGCTGGAGAGTCTGAGTGATGAAGGGCAGAGAGTGTGGCTGGGGACCTACCATGGTCACAATGTAAAAAGTCATGAAGTAGAGGCGGCTCCAGTGTGAGGTCTGAGAGGTGACACCTTCCTGGGGACACAGGGGGAGGCCAGTGAGTGGGTACCCGGGCAGGGCCAGGTCACTGTGCACTCAGGCCACTCCACGGTCCCCTGCATGCCCAGCTCTTTACAGACCCTGCCCAATCTGCCCGGGGGTGTGGCAGACACAGGAGGGGGCCCTCACTCCCAGGGCCTAAAAACTCCTCTGTGCTGCATGAGCCCTGGACGCTCCCCAGGGTGGCAGTGTAGAGGACTGACATGGGCGGTCTTTGTCCGAAGCAGGGGTGGAAGACTTGGAAGAATTTAAGGAATGGAAAACCAAACCCAACAACCCTTGCCACACTGTTTCTTGACAGCAGTGGAAGAAGGACAGAGACCCACAGGCTAACTGGCATCTCTGGGCCGCTAGGGGATGTGGTGGGGGGGAGGCAGGGACAGAAGCAAGTCCAGCAAACGCAGAGGGCTGGCTCCTGGGGCCCATCTCACACTGCAGGATCTCTGCAGAACCCCAACCCTGTGTGACCCAGGCCCCCAACCCCGACAGGGAACAGAAGAGCGAGGCATCCCATCGGGGGCCGGGCAAGGCCAGAGCTGGTCTCAGAGGATGGTGGGAAGATGCCCCCAGGAGTTGACCGAGGTCCTTACCATAATGATGTACCAGTTGTTGACAACTGTGAGCTCGAACAAGGTCACTGCCAAAGGGAAGGGGGAATGAGGAGTGTTTCAATCAGACTCCCTTTTTCCAAGTCTGTTTCAAGTGGCCTCTCTCTGCCTATCCTGGGTACCACGCACCTGGATGGTGGCGTCCCCGTCTGCCAGCTTGGACTGTGTGTTCCAAGCGCCCCCCCCCCAAGCGCCCACCCCGTAGGGAGTGCTGCCATCTTGGCCTGGCCCCCAGAGGCCGTGCCTCCGCCTCGGCAGCCTGTGACCAACCAGGGCTGGGGGTGGGCTGTGGGTGTAGAGCTGGGATGCCATGAGGGGCTCCCCTTCCTCTTGAGCTGTGTCCTGCCCCGGCCCCAGCCTCTCCGTGGAACCCGAGCTGGGGGCTGGGGTGGCTGTCCCAGCCTGCAACTGTGGGGTTGTGACTGGGGGGGGGTTCCCTAGCCTCAGGCTGTCCCCCTCCCAGCAGAGCATGAAGCACCTCTGTTCCCAGGAATGAAACCCGGTGGGGAGTGGGTGCTGGGATCTGGTCTGCACCCCTGCGGCAGGGCAAACCACGGACCCCACTGAGGCTCCAGAGGACTCGGGAAACTGTCGCAAACAGCTCAGACTGGGGAGGCCTCTGACAGCTCTGCTAGGCCGCATCTGGGGCCCGCGGTGACCAAGGCAGTGTGCCCGGGGACTGTCCCGCCTGTGGCCTCTGCACTCACCGAAGCTGTTCAGGATGTTGTCAAAGTTGTTGAGATAATAATAGCCTTCATCCACAACGGTCTTATTGCCCACGGTGTGATTGAGCCAGCGGTAGGCGTCAGCCACGGTGCTGGTACTGGCCAGGGAGACAGAGGGGCAGGGGGAAGGTCACAAGAAAATCGGTCACCTCGACAGAGGACAAAAGGCTTAAGCGAACAAGGCTCTGACCAGGGAGCCGCCGTCCTGGCCCAGCCCCCAGCTCGCTGGCCCACGTTCCTGGCTCAAGGGAGGCCCTCGGCTCCTCTCACTGGCTGGGCATTGCTGGGGACTCCTAGGCTTGCCCCCTGCTTATCTGCGTCCATCTGGCATTTCTCTGCTACCAGCGAAGCTGTCTTCCTCCCAACTACCAGAGGGAGACGCTAGCAAGGGAGAGAAAGGCGGTGTCTCCCCTGGTTCTCCCCATCTGTGACCCCATGCGGGGGAGAGCTCCTTGCCGGGCTCGCCCCAGCACCAGGCGGGAGTGCTCCGAAAGGCTGCCCCTGTTCTGAGAGCTTATTTGCGGCTTTCCTTCTAGTCCTTTCTGACTGCTCTGTTAACATTCATGCTGACGTTTCTACCCGTCTGGTCCTCGGGCCCCCAGGGAACTTGTTCAGAGGGCAGAGTCCTGGGCCTCGGGTGGCTGCCCTGGTGGCTCCGGCCCACTGTGGAGTTTGTGGCCAATGCTGTCGGCCTCTGGTTCTGAGCTCAGCCTGACACTCAAAATGGCTGCCAGCGTCTTTGGAAGGAGTTTGTGCTTGAGGCCTCAGGGGCTAAATTTTTGAAGAGAACACTGTGACTAGAGAATTAACACCAGAGCACACTGCTTTCGTCATGGCGGCTTGGAGGAAGGGAGAGGTCACGGGAGCTTGTGCTCCCCACG